CCCACCCATCTCTTTTTGGGGCGCAGCTGGAACGGATCGATTCCCACTGTCGCCTCATCAGAAGCTCTGACACACTCTGTTTAGTTCAGCTCTCAACGTGCAGGTTTCGTCTCATTCTGCAGATCTGTGCTTTTTCCCGGCGGCGGGACGCTTTCAGGCGTGCACGTGGCCCCCCCGGTGGCGCCCCCCCCCCCCCCCCCCCATGGCCCCACCCAACCCCGGCGGGCGCCAGCAGCCACAAACCAGCTTGGATTTTCTAATCGGGCCCCGGTGTCTGATCACTCCCTGCAAATTTCCCCACAACTCCTCTTTTATCGCCCCCCACCCATTTCTGCTCTGCCCCACTTCCCACTAACGCACACACAGGCGTGCACGCTCCTGCACGCACACACTCATATGACCATGAACAGTTCATTAAGAATGTGTGCCTTTGGGCTGAAGTCTGCAGCTGAGTATTAGAGGACTTCTTGACTTCAAATGAAATAGCAAAACAGAATTATTTATAGTGTGCGTGCACGCGCGCGTGCTCGTGTGACTGGTGTTGCAGTGCCCTGAAACACAAAACCCCTTCAGCAGAGGAGCACAATTATAAGACAGCCCGCGCGCACGCACACACAGCCTGTCCCCCACAGCCTCTCTATCCGTGGCCACGCGCGCACGCGCACAGCTCTTACCTTTTTTAATGACAGAGTGGTCCAGGATGCCCAGGGCGGATCCTTCCTCCATTCCCTGAAACACACAGAAACACGGTCACTATCGCTCATCCGCGCGCACACACACGAACACACGCGCGCTCTGAGGCCATGAAACCAACATTTATTTTCCTGTGAACTCACACAAACACAACATATAAAATCTGTTTCACTGAAAAAAAGCCAGAACCGGACTGGACCCAACTCGACCGAACCGGAACCTCTTTATGTGCACGTCTCGGCCTAAATACATCAAATCAGTATTTTCTTCCACGTTTAATTTGATCTGAAATTACTGAGAAATCTGATGTGAAACTCCAACGTTTCTGGTTGTTTTTTTCGCAGTTTTAAAGAATTAATTGTTTCTGATTTTAGGGACAAAAGTGTCGCGTGCGCGCGGACGCCTCCTCCTTTGACTTTCTGCCCATTAATCACACGGAGCTGCGCGTCGACAGGGCGCGTTTAACAGACACACGCGCGCGTTTTCTTCCTCTGATGACCGTGCGCATCGATTCGTCTCGGTGCGTTTTGATCCGGCCGCAAACTGCGTCTGCAGCTGCACCTGCTGCGGAGCCTCTGCGCCGAAAAGGAGGAGTTCAGGCCGCGGAGGCATCCGGACGGAGCTCCGGGAAAAAGAGTTCATGTTTTTACCGTTAACCGTTAAAGACTTTATACGCTCAAGTCAAATCTAGAAATTTATTTTGATAACTGAAAATTGACATTTATTTTGATAACTGAAAATATTTCAAATCCACATTTCACAAATTAAAAAATGGATTTCCTTTTATGGAATACATTTAGGAGCTCATTCGTATTTTACAATTGGGAATAAAGGTTTTAATGGTTTTCCTTTTTTCATTCGGATTTTGGAAGATTTTAGGCCCAAATTTAAAAAAGGCCTGCAGGTTTATTTTTATTCTAACTGTTTTAATTATTAGCTGAATAAACAATTAAAGGAATTTAAATGTGTTTAAATTGTCAGAAAAAAACAGATACTGCTGTCTTCAGGTTTAAGTATATTTTCAGTTTTGTAAATTAAACTGCTTTTAGTTCCGTCCATAACCTGCCTTCAGGGCCTGTTTTTAACGCGCATTTTTCTGTTGTATAATTAAAACACAAATGTGATCATTTCAAAGGTTAAAAATGTAATTAGATTAAGGAAAATAATTAACTGATTAATGATGGATAATTAACACATAGAAATAGAGGAGGCAAAAAGGCAAATAAAGTCACCTGAAGGTCCTCCAGGCCGTGGTGGCCCAGGTGCATCCCCAGAGCTCCGTCCCCCAGAGCCGCCGCCCCCTCTCCGAGGCCGTGCAGGAGCCGCGGCACGGCGGGGTATTCTCTGCGGGGGTCCAGGCCCAGCGCCCGGTGAGACTGAGACAGCAGCCCCCCCTCCTCGGAGCGCGACCTCTGCGCGTGCCATGCCGCCTGCTGGTGCTGGTGGATGGAGTTGATGGAGGGGTAGGGGTCCGACAGGTGGGAGTAGGCCGAGTCCTGGCTCTGGGAGTAGGGCAGGGAGGACTGCGGGTACGGCGGGGGGAAGTACGGCGGCTGGAAGTCGGAGGCCGGAGTGTGGCAGAGCGGCGGGGCCGCGGAGTAGGCGGCCTGGTTGAGGGAGGACAGCTGGGAGAGGCGCCCCCCCGGGGAGGAGCCGCTGAGTCCGTCCGCGCGCTCCTGCAGACAAGAAGAGGCCTTCAGACCAGGAGTCCCCCGGACCAGGAGTCCTGGACTCAAAGTGGGGTTATTCAGAATCACATTCACATATTAATCAGCCAAAAGAAATAGACAAAAGCAGAAAGTTGAGCGCGTGAGGGCGGACGGAGGCGGCGGAGTCTGAGTGAAGAGATGCGCGCTGACAGCAGCCGCCTGTGGCCCCGCTGCGCGCGCGTCACGGAGGTCAGGGCCGCACGAAGCCGGCAGGTAGCACATGACGGCGTGTCGCTGCAGG